GGGTCCCTGAGCCTGCAGCAGCAGCAGCAGCAGCAGCAGCAGCAGCAGCAGCAGCAGCAGCAGCAGCAGCGTAGTTTGTTTTCTCTTCCACGGGAAGAATTGACATACATTATGGTGTCAAGTATGTCTTAATGACTAAGGCTAGGACCCAAAGGAAGGATTTATTTGAGGAGGAAGAGAACCGTGCCAGCTCAAACTTTGATTTTTCTTTCACTTGTAGCTGTTTCTGTTGCTAAAAAGGAACACTGTTTTTCATAATGAGCAAGGTCCTCTCTATTTAGCAGTGAGAATGCTGTGAAAAAAAAAAAGAGAGAATTGCCACTGATTTTTTTCTCGTTGAAATTCAGTGCAACTTTAGAAGTTTCTCATGTTATCCCATGTATAATGCATGGGATCCCTTTTTATAATGCTGAAGTTTCTCAAGTGCATTTCATCTACTCCTAGCAACAAAGCCTGACCATCTAAGTGGCAGCCCCTAGCCATCCTTGCTGCTCTTAGGACATTAAACAAGTTGTCCCCCTGGTTAGGATTTGGATGGGAGATCAGAGCTATAGGTTAGACTAGGAAATAAAAATAAATCCTGGAAGAAAAGAACAGTGAACCACTTTGTACTGTTCCCAAAACAACAACAACTACTACTACAAAAATGTGCTCATCCAGTCACCAGGAACTGAGCTCATCTCAAGGGAAAATTCTTCTTGCCTGGTGGTTGCTACATATACATGGAGCTTCTTTGTATATTAAATGGTAAGGCAGAAGATCAACGACCTTGATATTGGCAGAACCAATCTTCAATTGTCAAAGTATTTAAACCTTTATCACCCACACTAGATGCTAAAATAAGAAGAGTTGACCATAACAGCCAACTGTAGATGGGATGATATATGTAGCTTGGCTGTATCTATATCTACTGATCCAAATGCATGTATCTCATTTTAATGTGTCCTACTCTCAATCCAATGCTAATGTACATATATACAAAATATTTTGATTTGGCATTTTTATACTAATATAATACTGCTTTATATCCCAGAGCCTCAGTGCCACAGCAGAGCTCCTTCTGGCCCTGGCCCTGAGCAGAATCATCAGATGGTTACATCAAACACCTTTTTCATTTCCCAGAACTTCCCTGAGCAGCACTATTATAGGAAACATTGTAGAAAATGGATGGAATCAAATATATCTTTGCAATTAATTTCCTGCAAAGTGTCTGTCCCCAAAATGCAAATAACAGCTCAAAGCAGAGATAGTTGTGAACATTACAACAGAGGGGGGGAAAGATCAAACTTCTCCTTGCTATTTGCTCTTTCCTGATAATTATGAGCTACCTCTCCAGCATCAACCAATGCATCTCCTTTCATGTTCATATCTGTGCATGTGAATGCCAGTTAGTTTGGCTTTGAAATGATGGCAGCTAGATTTACCTGCCTGATCCTGGATGGAACATGGCTTGGAGTGTTCCCAGTTACTTGCTGCTGCTGCCACCCACAACCAGTTGGAGAGCCCACAAGAACCAGTGGCTGAAAGAGTTTATCCCACCATCCCACCTTGGCCATCTCAGACTTGAAGCTGACCCTAAATAGATAAGTTATTTTCCAATTCAGAAAGCAAAGCTGATCATTTCTTGGAACTAAGTTAAATCTGTTTTCCAATTTTACTCAAGATTATCAACAGAATGACCTTCTATTTATTTTACTAGACTTGGCTCTTGACTGTTGCTAGCTAAAAACTACCATGTGGTGCTTTCACTTGCTCTTACACCTTTCTCACTTGCGTTGTCTATGTTAGTTGCTGCATGTTTCTTTGGCTTATTCACCTGTTCTGTCCTGTCCATTCATTAACGCCATCCACATTTCTCACTAGCTGCCACAATCCGAGGAGGTAACAACCTACGCTGTATTTTGTGAACATTGACTCTTTTTCTTACGTGGATTGCTGTGTCGTATATTAGATTACTTTGTAGCTAAACCATACATCCAGATGATAATGCAGCACTGACTAAGCAAAGTAGCATGGGAAAGACACAGATAACATAATTCTGGATGTATTTGAGTTGTGTTGTGTTGTTATGTCATGGAATAGTATTTCAGAGCATGGCTCATGGGCTGAAGGTCCCCTGTTTGAATTGTGGCTTAATTACAGATTCTTTGGATGGATCTGGCTGCAATCTTGCACTCACTTACCTAGGAGAAAGTCCACTGAACTTTATGGCACTTATTTCTGCCTAGACATGCGGATAATTATGCAGCTGTAGTGCTTCACATTGAAGTAGCTGTTACGATTATACACCCGATGTCCATGAGGGGATTTTAGCATTAGAAAAGATTCCCTTTGAATACTGAAATAGCAGGAACATAATTTGTTTGAGACAATATAGAGGAAGCATTGTCAGTATTTCAAAATTATTAATATGTATATAGACCATGTACTGCATTATGATGGCCATGTACATTTTAAGTTATTGAATATCCAAGCTACAACCTATTAATAATGCCCACGGAGCTAATGTTTAGAAAGGCTAGCATAAGATTAATCTGTGGAATTGGATACCATAACACGTTGTGATAAATACAACAGTGAAATTAGACAGTCATGGAGGATAGCGCTATCTACAGCTATTAAGGATAATAGCAACACATTATTCTCAACAGAGGCAGTGTTCCTCTCCATATGGTTGCTCTGATAGGTGACTGGATAATGCAGTTGCTCTCATGCCATTCAGGGCTTTCCATAGGTATTTAGTTGGCTTTTATGCTAACCTTTGCATTCATCTAATAAGGCTTTTAAGTCCTATATGGTGAAATGGATGAGTTTCACCACCCATTTTCTTGTCTTGAGTTTACTAAACTCTTGAGTTTCTTTTCTTTTCTTGAGTTTACTAAAAGAGCTGTAGCCCTAGACAAATGGGTTTCTCTGCTTCTGAGAATGTATAGCCATAGCTATATCGTCTCTCTCTCTCTCTCTCTCTCTATCTCTATCTCATTTGTGATGCCTTTGTTCATTTCATACAACTCACCTTTATTTCTTCCAACCTATTGATTATCAAGCTACACCTTCTTCCATGTAAGCCCATGTCCCTTGCTGAATATATCCCTTGTGTTCAGCTCCAGCCCCAGCCCATTTTGGACATGATCCCAGAGTGTTCCTTGTATAAGTTTAAATGTTTATGTATGTAAGCACATTTCCAATTTATTATGTCTGGGTAGGTGGGCCACATGCTTTAGCTATATCTCTAGCTATGCCAAGTTAACTGGATATGAAGAGGTGCAACCCCATCTTAAATTTTCTTTATGATTTTACCTGCCTTGAATATGTGAAGGCATTATTGGCAAAGCACGTCTCAACTTCATACCTGTATGTCATATTTCTCTTGTCTAGATATTATTTTCAGTGCACACTTTTCAATGTGCTTTCCTGCTATTTAATACAAAGGGTTTGTGCTTCTCCTGCCAACAACACTTCCTCCAGCTAATCTGCTGCTCTTTTTCTATCTGGTAGCTCTTTGCCTCTCGAGCTCAAAGTCTCTTGCTTATGACAACAGTGGCTATGCCTGTCTTCAGCAAAAAGAATGAAACGGTACGCATCATGTTCTTGGGCAACCTCCACTTGGAGCAGTAGGATGGCTTGCAAAATTTAAACTTTGTTTGTTAGGAAGATGACCTTGACAGAGATATGTAAGTTCCGTTCAAGGGTAATGAGGGGTAAAATATGTTTTAAGTTCACAACAGTCAGATAATTTTCAGAAGTTTTAGCTTTCCTATGGAGTGGATTTCTTGGTCTGGTCTACCTAGTGGGGCTGACAGAGCTTTAACAGATCTCCTGGCATTATTGTATTTCTGAAATGGATGGGTTTTACTACTTCTTAAAAGACTATATATTCATTCATCACCTAGAGTGCCATGGCAGGTGGGTGGCCATATAAATACAGTATGTTAAATAAATAAAAAAGTTTTAAAGAGTATATTTAAAAAATAAGTCAAGATGGACAAGCTGTAGCCTGCATTTTCTGTGTGGCCCCAACCCCCATTTTTATGTTCCCTAGAGTTTCTGAAATCTTGCCAACAAAATTTGGTAGCAAAAGTACTAAAGAATGGTGTGCAATTATCTACCAATGTATGTGTAGGATATAGCTTTTTTGGTAAAAAAAACCCCCAGAATTAAAAAAATAATAATTTAAGAAAATAACATTTCAAAACTAGTGAAGGAACTATTTTCTTTCTTGGGCAAATTAAGAAAAGGAATGCCATCTCCTTCTCCGTACTCTTTCAAAATTATTATAGCATTTATTATCTCTTTTTATTAGCATCTACATTATAGCTTAATGAATGGAATAGTTAACCCATTTCTGTTCCTTTTTTATCACCCCATCTGAATATTTTGTCATGCTGCTCAGTAAAAATGATGAAAACCTACATAGAGACAAAATGATGATATTGATTTCAATACATGGAGAGAGTGATAATATGTTCCCAGTTTTCATTTTCTATTTTTCAGAGGTCACATGGCATCCTTCTGGGTGTAGTAGGCTCTGATGTTCCACTGAGAGAGCTCCTCAAGTTAGCCCCACGATACAAAGTAAGAACCAAGATAATGAGATTTATCTGCTCTTGGAAAGTACAACAGTCCTAAAGGAAATCTTCATTCCACTGTAATGGCAGAGAACTTATTCAGTCACTGCAGTGCTGTAAGAAGAAGAGATGGCCACTAGTTCAGAATGAAGAAGCTCACATTCCCAACATGCCTATGGGGTACATTGATGCCTGTGAAACTCTGGGTTAATACTGCTTTCTTTCAGAGGAAATTCCCACCACCATGTGAGCACAACTAAGAAAGCATGTTCCTCATGCTTCACTATAAAGCAGTGTTTCTCAACCTTGGCAACTTTAAGAGGTGTGGACTTCAACTCCCAGCATGCTGGCTGGGGAATGCTGGGAGTTG